TAGCCAACTTTACAGTGCACAACCCCCTTCGCAGGATACAATTTTTTGTTATTTTGAAGCCCCACTCTGACTGTTGCCAGGGGCCGCAATATAGCCTAATGGTTAAACACGGGTTTTCAGGACCTCTCCTATTTTTTCCACATCGACGACCTGCATTGTTCATAGAGGGTGGAAAAATGTAGTAGGGGAGGGGGGAGGGAGATGACATTTGTGACATTGAGACCACATCATTAATGTCGTGCCGACTGGCCTCTTTAACTAAAGGGTTGGCAATATATAACAAGAACTTCACAACGGAAGCTTACACCGCACAAGTTGACTAACATTCTATCCTCATTTGCTTGATGGCACTTTGTGTCACTGGGTGTTTATTGCTCGGTGTGATGTCCTGGTGGGGCAAAATTTACTTACTACTTAAAAACAGAACCACAATACATACAATAAAGTCCCAGCGTGGGAAAACAATTTGTTGTTATTTTAAAACCCCACCCCGGATGTAGTCAGGGGCCCTAATATAACCTAACGGTTGAACAGGGTTCCTGAGACTTGTGCCTGAGTGATCCTCATCCGAATGGAGGCACTTTATCTCCCTGGGTGTTGGTAGCGAGTTTAATAACATTCATACATTTCAAAGGGGATGATTAGTATGGGCCAATACCATGGAAACAGGTATGCATAATCTATTAACATTCAGTAAGTAGGGCACTTGTTGATGGACATGAAACACTGGTAGATATAACACAGTTCAATGTGATGTAATAATTTTGTCTTAGGCATGATAAGAAGTTAATGGTGTTTGTATAAGGAATAGCCTGGCACCTTACCTTGAGCATCAGCTGGCTCTGTGCTGGTTTTACATACACGGCTCCTGACACACATCACAATCATGCAGCATGGCCATTATCTGCCCATATTGAGATGTCAGGGGTTTCCTAAGCTGTCAGGGGTTTCCTGAGCTAGTGTTCTCCACAAGTGCAGTATCCAGAAAACCTATGGCAGTCTTAATCCCCTCCCCCTTGAAAACCTGTCAATCAAGAATCCTACTAAATAGCAGCTCAGGTCCAAATATCTGTCCATCTTATGTTTGACTAAATGACAGCTCAGGTCCAATTGTCTGTCCATCTTATGTGTGACTAAATGACAGCTCAGGTCCAAATGTCTGTCCATCTTTTGTGTGACTAAATGACAGCTCAGGTCCAAATGTCTGTCCATCTTATGCTTGACTAAATGACAGCTCAGGTCCAAATGTGTCTGTCCATCTTATGTTTGACTAAATGACAGCTCAGGTCCAAATGTATGTCCATCTTTTGTTTGACTAAATGACAGCTCAGGTCCAAATGTCTGTCCATCTTATGTTTGCCTAAATAGCAGCTCAGGTCCAAATGTCTATAATGACAGCTCAGGTCCAAATGTCTGTCCATCTTATGTTTGACTAAATAGCAGCTCAGGTCCAAATGTGTTTGTCCATCTTATGTTTGACTAAATGACAGCTCAGGTCCAAATGTCTGTCCATCTTATGTTTGACTAAATGACAGCTCAGGTCCAAATGTCTGTCCATCTTATGTTTGCCTAAATAGAAGCTCAGGTCCAAATGTCTGTAATGACAGCTCAGGTCCAAATATCTGTCCATCTTATGTTTGACTAAATGACAGCTCAGGTCCAAATGTGTCTGTCCATCTTATGTTTGACTAAATGACAGCTCAGGTCCAAATGTCTGTCCATCATATGTTTGACTAAATGACAGCTCAGGTCCAAATGTCTGTCCATCTTATGTTTGCCTAAATAGCAGCTCAGGTCCAAATGTCTATAATGACAGCTCAGGTCCAAATGTCTGTCCATCTTATGTTTGACTAAATGACAGCTCAGGTCCAAATGTCTGTCCATCTTATGTTTGCCTAAATAGCAGCTCAGGTCCAAATGTCTGTAATGACAGCTCAGGTCCAAATGTCTGTCCATCTTATGTTTGACTAAATAGCAGCTCAGGTCCAAATGTTTGTCCATCTCATGTTTGCCTAAAAAGCAGCTCAGGTCCAAATGTCTGTAATGACAGCTCAGGTCCAAATGTCTGTCCCTATTATGTTTGACTAAATGACAGCTCAGGTCCAAATGTCTGTCCATCTTTTGTTTGACTAAATGACAGCTCAGGTCCAAATGTCAGTCCAACTTTTGTTTGACTAAATGACAGCTCAGGTCCAAATGTCTGTCCATCTTTTGTTTGACTAAACAGCAGTTCAGGTCCAAATGTTTGTCCATCTTATGTTTGACTAAATGACAGCTCAGATTCAAATGTCTGTCCATCTTATGTTTGACTAAATGACAGCTCAGGTCCAAATGTCTGTCCATCTTTTGTTTGACTAAATAGCAGTTCAGGTCCAAATGTCTGTCCATCTTATGTTTGACTAAATGACAGCTCAGGTTCAAATGTCTGTCCATCTTATGTTTGACTAAATGACAGCTCAGGTCCAAATGTCTGTCCATCTTTTGTTTGACTAAATAGCAGTTCATGTTCCAGGGGTAAAGAAGTCACCACACAAACAATGTTACGAAGTGTCCCACATATCTAACCATAAATATCACAGCTGTGGCACAATACAAATACTCCACCCAGATGAACAACTAAGTAACGACTCCAACTGTTTTGCCATCTACATGTTTTTATTTCATAGATGGACTCAAGTTATGTGTGAGGGGAATCTGAGATTCATTGTGACCAACAGTAAGAAACAACCTGGCATTAAACAAATCCTTCTACAGGCTCTGGAAAATGCTGGCAGACCCTCATCTTGTTCATTTCTGCAACAAATTTCTAGTGCCATCAAAGAAAATGTCACACTGTTATGTACTAGTGTAAACAAACATTTAAAAAATGGTAGTGTATACATGGTTAAATTAACATATGGCAATCTATGTACTGTTATCACATCTACAAAGTGTTGTGTTTGGGCGGGATTTGCCAGCCCAAATATGTTTCTCATATGCCGTTTTGTAATTTAGCATACGCTCCAGAGATCTGAAATAAAGTGGAACATCTTAGTAATTTTGATATCTCCGGTAGATGCAACTTCATTACGACACTCCTCGACACCTTTTTTTCACGTAACTTTCCATCGAATACTATCTATGTTTTCCTATAAAACTTTTTCGTTTAAATCTCTAGGTGAATTCTTAATTTCAGATACTCTAGTCTTCTGTTTTTCTCTGGTTATACACAATTTTTACTGTTTCTTCTTCTCTTCTACGTTTACATGTACCGTTAACTGTTACTTCTGACGGTTCTAACAATTCATAGTAGACAGAGTATCCATCCTGGTTCTGTCAGCGACTACATATCCACAACCTGCTTTCTTAGTGATTCTGAATTCATCATCTGTGCCGTAATTTTATGAGAATAAGTCAACCTTGTTACTACTAACTTCCTGTCTATTTTATTTTGTGTGCTATTGATATCAAGTCCTTTTACTTCTACCACGTTTACTTTCCATAATCATTTCATTGCCAAACAACCCTCATTATCGTCCTCTTGTTCCGATTTAATGTTAGGCGGTATTAACTCTTTATGTGTTTCTATCGATCATCTGCCCTGTTTACCATTACAGCATTTATTTTGTTAGTGTAGTTTTTATTAAACTGTTTCCTGGAATTCCTTTTGTTGAACCCTCCTAGCCTGTATTCATTAACTTGTACGAGATAGAACGTTTTTAGAAATCTGCTTTAATGTTCGCAAATCGTTGCACCACTCATATGAACTGTCTTTCCTTCTAACTTTCTCTCTATCTTCCACTGGGACCTTTTTTCAGCCACTACTCTGTCTTTTCACATCTCTTATAAACTCTCCGTCTCATAATCAGTAGCGCACGTTTTCTTTACTCGCCTGCCGCAATCAGCCATAGTGATTGTCCTCCTGGTTAAAACCTGAGATTTTGTACGAGGACTTTTGATTATAGCCTCATTTTCTTAATTTACTTTGAATCTATTACCATGATTATATGTAGTACTTTGAGCCGTGTAATCTGGATTATTTCTAAACTTTCATTCTGATTATTACTTCTGTTTAGCAATATTGCACCAGAATTGCATGACCTAACTCGACCTTGATTATTCTCATGAATATTTCCTCCTCTACTATTGCTCTGATATTGTGATATTAGTTACTATGGTTAGGTTTCTGTTTCTCTGATATTTCGGATACTTTTTCAACTTTTGTGATCTCCGTTCTGGTAAACCCGCTATTTTGGCCTCTGTTGTTGAGCACTTGTGCCCTCGTTTGACCCCGACTGTATGGTCTGTAACACGGGTTACCTCTAGGCTAGTGCATTCTTGCTTTTTTTGGCAACCGGAAGGTCGATTAACATCCAATGTTACATTTCTCTTTACTTTTACCGTTTCCCTGTAATAAAAAGTGGAATACTGAGCTTTCTACCTAACTTTATGACTTAACTTTAAACCCTTCTGAACTGCACTTCCACTGTTCCCTGTTCTGCTATTTCAAAATCTAGATACTTCTTAACTTTGTAAATTGCAAACAAATATCAAATTACCTTGATGTATGTGGTGGTCTTTCTCATGTCTTCCTGTAAGATAAAAAGTGTTCACACCACACAACACAAACAACACCACAGTTAAACTCAAAACCAAAGTCCAGATCAGATATTCAACTTCTGTGAGACAGTTAAAAAAACAGAGAAAGCGTGTTACCTACACCACTTTAAAAATTAACAGTATTTTATATTAATTAATGTTATACATAGTTCTGAAGAATTGCACTTATTTCACAGTTCTCACGCTCTCAGAGTCGGACAGTTTACAATATGCTGGGGAATGTTCTTTACTTTCAACCAGTCTTCTAAATGCATACAATCCATGGGTTTGTGAAAGTATGTTCTGGCTAGAATGGGCTTGTCTCTCCGATCTTAGTGTAGACAGTACGTGTAGTAACCTGGAATTAAGCTCGAATCCAGTCGTAGAACGATACGTGTAGCAACCTCGAATGGGGCCTCATCTTACCCGGATCGAGTCATAGACAGTGCAGGCTGTTGGTTTGATTCACTTTCCTTTCTAGTTTCTGCTGAAGTGTATTTTGACTTCTTTCTTCGATCAGGTACGATATATGTGAGCTTCACTAGTATTTCTAACATGAAGTCAACTTCCAACACTAGGTAAAACTCTCTTTTAAAATTCTCCGAAAGTTTTCTTTCGGTCATACTGTAATTGTTAGGTTCGTAAAACTCTAGTCCTCGTTTTGCCACCGCCCAGCTAAGCTCCTTGGCTCTGTCTTCTCCCCCTGCTGCCCTTCCTCTCCCCGCTTTCTCCTTCTCTCCATTCCTTACCACCCTGGGTGATCTCAGCATCGCTATTCCTCACCCACTGACACCCACCAACCTGCCTGGCCATTGCCTTCATTCCCGGTTTACCTTCCTATTTGATGGCAAGATAAAATGGTGTTGTTTCCAGCATTCTAATTGAGGTTGTTGGCTTGCCGGCTATCATGCGTATACATCCGTCAATATCAGATGTCATGGGTTTATCAGAAATCAGACTCTGTTCACCCCTTTCTAATCCCTGTTTCACTACATATACAGCAGATCCATCCATCAGTACAGTGTCTTGTGTTTCATAACAGCTGCCACCATTGGTTAAACGACACCTGTATATAACTATCTCACTGTACACAACAAATCGAAACAATTTTATATATATAATTGAGCATTATAATTTTATATATATAGATACACACATTAAACTCAGTGTATGCAGCTGATCAAACAATATATATTAGAACCTCGATTATCCAGCTTATGATTATCCAAACATCCGACCCAGTTTCAAAAACATTTCTTGACCACAACCAGCATGTGAAAACCACACACAGCATGTGATAACTTGACCGCACCCAGCATGTGATAACTTGATCACACCTAGCATGTGATAATTTGACCGCACCCAGCATGTGATAACTTGACCACACCCAGCATGTGATAACTTGACCACACCCAGCATATGATAACTTGACCACACCCAGCATGTGATAAATTGACCACACCCAGTATGTGATAACTTGACCACACCCAGCATGTGATAACCACACACAGCTTGTCACACAATGGTGTCTGACACAGTGAACAGGTCACACAATTGTGTCTGACACAGTGAACAGGTCACACAATGGTGTCTGACACAGTGAACAGGTCACACAATGGTGTCTGACACAGTGAACAGGTCACACAATGGTGTCTGACACAGTGAGCAGGTCACACAATGGTGTCTGACACAGTGAACAGGTCACACAATGGTGTCTGACACAGTGAACAGGTCACACAATGGTGTCTGACACAGTGAACAGGTCACACAATGGTGTCTGACACATTGAACAGGCCACACACCAACCATGTTGTAACAGGATCAAGGCCATTGCAATTTCACAATATTATGAGATTCACACCACGAATATAATCCTGGTATCTTAGACTCACAATATTATGAGATTCACACCACGAATATAATCCTGGTATCTTAGACTCACAATATTATGAGATTCACACCACGAATATAATCCTGGTATCTCAGACTCACAATATTATGAGATTCACACCACGAATATAATCCTGGTATCTTAGACTCACAATATTATGAGATTCACACCACGAATATAATCCTGGTATCTCAGACTCACAATATTATGAGATTCACACCACGAATATAATCCTGGTATCTTAGACTCACAATATTATGAGATTCACACCACGAATATAATCCTGGTATCTTAGACTCACAATATTATGAGATTCACACCACGAATATAATCCTGGTATCTCAGACTCACAATATTATGAGATTCACACCATGAATATAATCCTGGTATCTTAGACTCACAATATTATGAGATTCACACCACGAATATAATCCTGGTATCTTAGACTCACAATATTATGAGATTCACACCACAAATATAATCCTGGTATCTTAGACTCACAATATTATGAGATTCACACCATGAATATAATCCTGGTATCTTAGACTAAATCTGAAGACATTAAACACTTAAAATATTTGGGGGAAAAACAATTCGAAATAACACAAGTTACCCTGCTTATCTATAAACATCTCAGCCTGCTTATATTCCTCATGGTCTGACTTTTTAAATTTTTAATGGTCCCTGTACTACCTACACAGAACGTCTCCCAAAGTCATCTTTTGTCTAACAGAGGCCAGACTCTAGAAACTCTTTTGATACACAGTGACCAACATCTGTACCCACTGACCAACATTGTGGACACTGAACAACATCTGTACCCACTGACCAACACTGTGGACACTGACCAACATCTGTACCCACTGACCAACATTGTGGACACTGACCAACATCTGTACTCACTGACCAACATTGTGGACACTGACCAACATCTGTACTCACTGACCAACACTGTGGACACTGACCAACATTGTGGACACTGACCAACATTGTGGACACTGACCAACATTGTGGACACTGACCAACACTGTGGACACTGACCAACATTGTGGACACTGACCAACATCTGTATACACTGACCAACATTGTGGACACTGACCAACATCTGTATACACTGACCAACATTGTGGACACTGACCAACATCTGTATACAGTGACCAACATTGTGGACACTGACCAACATCTGTACTCACTGACCAACATTGTGGACACTGACCAACATCTGTACTCACTGACCAACACTGTGGACACTGACCAACATTGTGGACACTGACCAACACTGTGGACACTGACCAACATTGTGGACACTGACCAACATCTGTATACACTGACCAACATTGTGGACACTGACCAACATCTGTATACACTGACCAACATTGTGGACACTGACCAACATCTGTATACAGTGACCAACATCTGTATACACTGACCAACATCTGTATACACTGACAAACATTGTGGACACTGACCAACATCTGTACTCACTGACCAACATTGTGGACACTGACCAACATCTGTACTCACTAACCAACATTGTGGACACTGACCAACATTGTGGACACTGACCAACATCTGTACCCACTGACCAACATTGTGGACAACCATTGACCAACACTGTGGACACTGACCAACATCTGTACTCACTAACCAACATTGTGGACACTGACCAACATTGTGGACACTGACCAACATCTGTACCCACTGACCAACATTGTGGACAACCATTGACCAACACTGTGGACACTGACCAACATTGTGGACACTGACCAACATCTGTATACACTGACCAACATTGTGGACACTGACCAACATTGTGGACACTGACCAACACTGTGGACACTGACCAACATTGTGGACACTGACCAACATCTGTATACACTGACCAACATTGTGGACACTGACCAACATTTGTATACACTGACCAACATAGTGGACACTGACCAACATCTGTATACACTGACCAACATCTGTATACACTGACCAACATCTGTATACACTGACCAACATCTGTATACACTGACCAACATTGTGGACACTGACCAACATCTGTATACACTGACCAACATCTGTATACACTGACCAACATCTGTAAACACTGACCAACATCTGTATACACTGACCAACAACTGTATACACTGACCAACATCTGTATACACTGACCAACATCTGTAAACACTGACCAACATCTGTATACACTGACCAACATCTGTATACACTGACCAACATCTGTATACACTGACCAACATTGTAGACACTGACCAACATTGTGGACACTGACCAACATCTGTATACACTGACCAACGTCTGTATACACTGACCAACATCTGTATACACTGACCAACATTGTAGACACTGACCAACATTGTGGACACTGACCAACATTGTATACACTGACCAACATCTGTATACACTGACCAACATCTGTATACACTGACCAACATCTGTATACACTGACCAACATTGTAGCCACTGACCAACATTGTGGACACTGACCAACATTGTGGACACTGACCAACATCTGCACTCACTGACCAACATGTGCACTCACTGAATAACATCTGTACCCACTGACCAACATTGTGGACACTGACCAACATCTGCACTCACTGACCAACATTGTGGACACTGACCAACATCTGTACCCACTGACCAACATTGTGGATACTGACCAACATCTGTACTCACTGACCAACATTGTGGACACTGATCAACATCTGTAGTCACTGACCAACATTGTGGACACTGATCAACATCTGTACTCACTGACCAACATCTGTATACACTGACCAAGATATGTACAAAATGACCACGCTGTATTCACTGACCAAGATATGTACAAAATGATCAACATATGTACCCACCGATTAACATCTGCAGACACTGACAAAAAGTTGCCAGGAACTGACAGAAGTCTATAAAGATTTCAATACTTCCAGTGCATGGAAATATCAGAGTTTGTTTCTAACATGTTGGAGATTGCAAATATACAACTATCTTAGCGTTTCTAACAAGTGAGGTACATTAGGTCAGGGTAAAACAACAACATTGATGACAGCTGACAGAAGATAGCAGGCACAGTCCTAGAACATGTCTATGTACATATCACAGCAGAGAATGTCGTCACATCATCCCAGTGGTGGTCATGTCAGCACAGGTGTATAATTAACTTCAGACAAAGGTGAGGTGGCTTTCTTCTGGTCCTGGTCAGTCTTGTGAAGTCGGAGGCAGCTGTCTCTATTGGAGCTATTGATGCTGTCAACAGACAATCAAACATATTCATTACTGTCAACAGACAATCAAACATATTCATGACTGCCAACAGACAATCAAACATATTCATGACTGTCAACAGACAATCAAACATATTCATGACTGTCAACAGGCAATCAAACATATTCATGACTGTCAACAGACAATCAAACATATTCATGACTGTCAACAGACAATCAAACATATTCATGACTGTCAACAGACAATCAAACATATTCATGACTGTCAACAGACAATCAAACATATTCATGACTGTCAACAGACAATCAAACATATTCATGACTGTCAACAGACAATCAAACATATTCATGACTGTCAACAGACAATCAAACATATTCATGACTGTCAACAGACAATCAAACATATTCATGACTGTCAAC